AACGGGCAACATGACTGCACGACTGCATATTTAAAAACAGACAAGAAACAGACACAGAGGATCTTTTTATGGTGATAGACACTCACACCAGAATGTGAGACTAGCTGAAGCAATGTTAATGTTTGCAGTCAACAGAAGTTGCCTTGAAATTACTGCAGCACAAAGCTCTGTGGGAAGAGCTGTGCCTTCCTAGACACGGTGCACAGCCGCGGCGAGGTGTTGCAGATGCTGGCCCCTGTCTCTCCATGCTGCAGCGGTGGCAGCAGCGGCCACTGGTAGGGACGAGCCACCTGGTCCACACTCAGGCTTCCCTCTTGCCCCACCCTGCCCTTAGCTGGATCCAACATCCAATTACTGGCAGACGCACTAGAGCACAATGTAAAACTGAGCAGCACACCTTACTGTTGCCAGCTAGTGGGCGGTGTCACTGGACTGAGGTTCAAAAGCCAATGTGTCCCTTTCAGAGAGAATAAGCTGTGTTTTGCCAGGGGGTAATAACAACATTTTCCTGGTTTATGCTTCACTCTATGTGTAAGACTGACTCACCTCTGCAAATGCTGGGGTTTAGAGAGGCAGAAGAAGAAGAAACCAGAAATGAAAAAAGGGAAAGACGGCTACACCGTTATATTAGGGCTATATATATTCTATATGTATATATATATATATATAGTAAGCAATGATTTTGTCAACACAGGGACACTTTAAATCCAGAAATGAAAAAAGGGAAAGACGGCTACACTGTTATATTAGGGCTATATATATTATATATGTGTATATATATATATAGTAAGCAATAATTTTGTCAACACAGGGACACTTTAAACGACAAAACCCCAAACTTTAATGATTTTCTGTGCATCTGTTTTTTTCTGGTTTGTAAGGATGTAATGTAAAATTGTAAATTTCTAAGTAAAAATCTGATTTCTAGTATTTCGGTGTGCATGTATAAACACACAGCCTCCCACTCTCATCCCCCATCAGGAAAGTACGAAGGCTAACAGTTACGTACTTGCCTTCACGTATGGAAAGTGCATAGCTGAAGATAAATAAGCTTATGCACATGAAAAACAGTAAAAGATAGAATGTTCTCAATAAAAACAATTAATAACCTATTTGTGTGCTGGAAATGTCCTGTGGACAGAAGGAAGAAACTATTAACTGAAAGGAGTTTTAATTAGGGTAAATATTTTTACAAACCCTAAGTTGTTCTACTGTAGTTTATTTGATATGTTTGATTACTTTGGTATATTCGTGTGTCAGTAGCTCACTCTGTACACAACTAACCCAAGTTACAAGCAGCGTCCTTAGTTACCTTGTGAGAGCTTCATTTCTTCTCCTGTAATATGCAGTGCTAAACAATGGAACAGATAACTATTCTGCAGGTCCATCTGGCTTAGAAGATATAAAAATGCTGTCATCTTGTACTTCCTTGGTGATGTTACCAGTTTTAAGAGATGGTGTCTGTTCCATCTGGGGACTTCACGGGTCTTAATCTGGCAACCATGAAAAACTATCTAAAAGGATTACTCAAATAGATCCAAAGCCCGGGCATCAATGTATATGAAGCAGTTGAGTTGCACCTCTGTACACAGGTCTAGATTTCACCCTATGTATTTAAACTTTGTTGCAGTAAGTGCTTGTGTGGTCTGGTAATGAACAGAAGTAGTGTCCTTAACTTTCTTTGCAAACATCCATGCTTGACTGAAGGATGGTGAATATATATTTCAACAATGTCATTGATAAACTACAATTTTTTTAAGGCTTAATGTTATGCTAATAGACCTACTAAGACCTAGCTTGAGTGGCACAGATTCACATATTAAGTACTTATGATATAAAAAGCATAACGCAAGTTCTGGTGAATAAAGTAGTGAAAATCTGTAAAAAGCGACTTACTTGGATTGCACATCTGCAGTTTTTAACAGCCTCAGTCTATTCTGTCCATTTTAAATGACAGATACAATAACCAAAAAAGTGTCTTCATACTATAAACCAACAGGAGAATTTCACTTCCATCTATAGATAAGCATTTGCTGTAAGCACCTTCCTGCCCTGCAAGCACTAAAGCAATCTTCCCAACCAAAAGTTAATGCTTAAACACTGAAGAGAGTTACAGAAAAGCAAAAATACCAAGACTGCAAGATTCTTATTTTCATCTCTCTGAAAGAACACACTTCCTATTTTATAATATTCCAGAGTACCAATCAAAAAAGTCAGGCAAAACTGACTGGTAGTTTCAAGGCAGAGTCTCTAAAGGACCTCAACATTTGAATATGGAAGATATACCCCTCTTGGAGTGGCTATATTAAATTCCTTTTTATAGGAAATTGACTGCTTTTTTCTGTACATCAAGAATTCTGAGAATACCTTACAAAATGTTTATAACGAAATCGCATCCAAATCCCAAATGACATCAGTGCTACATATTGCACTGAGTAGTTAAATCATTACATTACAGATCTAATGGCTAGATTATCTTAATGAACTTGCAGAGAAAAGAAATGGGAGTGTTTATTGGGGAAAGTGCTGAGGAGCCTGGGTGATGTAGAAGCCTGTCCAACAATGGAACTCAGCTTAATTTGATTCTGAATTGGTGTTCTCTGTTTATTGGAGTCTTTCTGTATTATTACAACAGCATGGTTAATACTTCCCATGGATCCTAAGCAGGCTAGGTATCCTTCACAGTTACTTTTTCTCACCAGGCTCCTTCATCCTTTATTATTACATTTCACCTTTTCAGGTAGTGTTGCAGTTGATAAGTCTCTGCTGTCATCTGGGGAAATTGAAAATCAGTACAAAATTGCATAAATAGTCCTTTTTGAAATCAGCTGCTTTTCAGCAGCCAAATCCCAAGCATTTTTAGAAAGACTTCTGAAAGAATCAAGGCTCAAACAAAAAAGAAATTTTATGGAAAAGAAGAAAAAGCTCAGTTTAGCATGCTGTTCATTGCATTAACATCTTTAACTGAAGTTTTCATTTATGTTTTACATAGCCCCAAAATGGAGCAAGTATGAATCTGCAGACTTTTCAGGATTTCTCTCTCTCTCTGGAACATAATGCAGAGCTCAGGCCTATTTCTAAATCCAATTTAAAAGTTGGATTAAATGAATGAGTGAATTCTGTAAATAATTTACAAGAGTTAAAGCTATCCAGAACTCCTCATTTCAATAGAGAAATGTAAATAAATGCCTACTGCTAGAAAGGCAGACCAATTTTACATGTGATTTTTGCCTCTGTTAATGTTTCCTTTTACTGTAATACTTACCACATAGCAGAGCAGTCAAAATTCACTAGGAGCCATTTGTGAGGATTGAAGTTAAATGAGTCAGCAAACTGAGAGTGGATAAATAAAAAGAGCATCATGAAATAGAAAGATATCCATGTGCTAATGATACAACTTTATCAAATTGTCCAAGTACATCTCAACTACGAATGAATTCCTGAATTGGGTCTTTATAGATAATGTTCATACTGATGTCACCTTACTTAATAACTACTGTAGTTAAATGTTCATTTATTCTGGTGATGGAACTCAGGTTAGGTGTGCAGCTAGGCTATTGGTACTATCAACATTTTGAGCATTTGCTAACAATTATAGTTTTTAGATACACATGTTGTGGAAAAGTATGTATCTCAGTGTAAACTAAAGAAAAAATCTGCATAATCAGGAAGATCCACTGTGGTTCATATCCCATTTTCCAATAACAATACACTAAGCTTTCTATTTCCAAGAATATTAAACATATACACGCAAAATTCATATATAGAGACAAAGTACATATTTCGTTCAGAATCTGCATATCACATTCATTCAGAAAGTTACAACTGGCCAGGAAATTACTTTTTTTTTATTGCCAGGGTATTTTCTTTTAGTAGAAGTCATTTTTTCACCTAAGTCAAAAGAAAACCCAACACAGAATAAGTATTCCTGATATGTATTTATATAAATCATGTAACAGGCCCGTTTTACTTGACATATGTTTAGGTGTGGTATCAGAGGAAACCCAAGTAGGTGAGATGGACATAGTGTGGGTAAGGCTTTGTCCGTGTTTTGTGTTTTAACAAAGGCAGAAGCCATCAGCCTTAAAAAAGAGAGATGGGGGCCTGGCAGCACCAGGGTCTGACTACTCCATATAGCACTCTTTTGTTCTCATTTGCTTCTCATAACCTTGCCTGTCGCTTGTAAACAATCAATGATTGCTCTCATAAAAGAGGATTATCTGTCTGTCTCTCTGTCTATCTGTCTATACATCTATCTAGCTATCTCCCTGTACTATGTGAGGTAGGAAACCTATTCATGGTTGTTAAATATTTACTCTTATGAGAAATGCTGGTCCAAACAAGGGATGCTGTTTCATTTCCTTCAGGAACCAATAAGAATAATTTAAAAAATATTCCCTACAGGAAATTACAACAAGCTTCATTTGCTGATAAAAAAAAGACAGAAAGAAATGCTTTATTTGTGAGGGGGTTTTCCCTCCTCTTCTTCATTAGTCACTACCTATCAGTGCTGTGTTTAAACGTCTGGCTTTACCAAACAGTAATATTTTCTCCACTGACGTGGAAGACAAGGACTTATCTGACTGTCTGAGGGGAGCAGCAGGAAATTGAAGTATTCTTATCTAAGCAACTGAATGCCAAGTAGCTCAGTGAGGGGGGGAAAAAAGGAACAGGAATGCTTTAGGGGAATATTTCATTTAGCTCTCTCAGTTATTAAACCCTGTCTGTTTGAGATACAGCTACTGGCAGTATTCTTATGACTTTCAGGGTGTAAGCAAAAGATCAGACATAATGAGCTTATTAATTTGTTGAACTTTTTTTCTTTTTTTTTTTTTTTTCTGTAATGTAGAATTAGGATGTTATAAATGTGCCTTTTTGCATATTCGGGAAAAATTTCTCTTCTGTTTTGTAACTTACTTTATTGATTCACTACCTCTTGCTATTCTGAATGACAAACTTTTACATACTGTGTTAACTCTCAGAATAAAGCAGTAAAAATTAGATAAACTAAGTAACGTAATAGAATATACAGGGATTCGTAGTGCAAACTGAAGTGCAGTGTACTTAGAGATTCTAGAAGAACCATTAATGGTGGACGGATAAGAAACACAGAGACTCTATGGAAGAGCAAGGTTTTAGCAGGCTGCTAGAGAAGAAACACTTCATTCACCTCCACTCCGTTTAAAAGATGCCTGAATTCAGGGCAGATGAATGCGCTCCCAGCATAGGCTGCATCAATATGCATCCAGATGTTTTCCTTATTGCCTAAAATAAAAAGTAATTTAGGGGAAAATAAATTAAACAACAGATTAAAAAGCCCTATTAATTTGCATGAAACCAAGTGCCTGAGAGATTTTTCTTTGATGTTATTATTTTTCCAATTTAAAATTAAATTAAGAGATTAAATGTTTCTACCATCTGGGTTTCCATTAATACATAAAGATGTATACATAACGTATTCTTCTTCCTTCCCACTTTTCCTGGAACAGAGTCCTTACATGTCTAGGTTTATCTTATTAATATTAAGCAACATAAAATACTAAATTATTTTTATTTCAAAACCGTCATAAAATAGGTGAAAATACGTATCTATAGATGCAGTTATAATTTCTATGGTAATAAAACTACCTACTTTAGCAAGAGGAGCTAGAGTTTTAGCTGTGCCCCCCACTTTCAACTCATGAATCACAAACATACGCTTCTAAAGAGTATTTTTTACATCTTGATAGATGTGTGTGCACATGCTTTTGAACTATGTGCAGCAAACTACTTATTTAAAGGACTGAGACACTTAAGCAAGAGCAAGCATTGAAAGGTTACAAAAGTGCTAGTTTTGATTAGTCACTGAATGGTTTCTGCAGAAATATTTTAGCATATGAGCCTCTCGTGTTCTCTGTATATAGATCTGCTGTGCCATAGATCACATGTATTAATGCACATGGTAACAGTTCTGGCCTATGAGCTGATGAGTGAAGCCCACATGACATCTTTAAACTGGTCACCAAATAACTGTGATGGGTATTTCCACATACAGAGGTATATTCATTCAGATCTGCAGTTGGGCACCAAGTTCATGCTGGAATTTGTATCCTTGTGAACTACATTTTCTTTTTTGCATAAATGTCTGGAAAAAGCTAATAAAATATTATTCATAACATCCATGGCCTTTATTTTAAAACATGTTCAAAGTTCAACTGATTATTTCTTTTTAAATATATTTGGTGTGAGACACTGCTTGTATTTCATAGGACTACTGCTCATGTATATTAAGAAGAAAATTCACCTGCATGCAGAAAAGCTAGCATGAGACTTATGATTTGAGTAGTGCACCATCCTTCTGCTGGTCTCTGCTGCACAAGCAGGAAATCATTGAGAGCAACTTGTGAAACACACATGATTAGTCATTATACCTAAAAGTATTGGCGTCACTGTTTTATTAGGCCAGGTCTATAGGAATAACCTGAAGAACAAAAGAATCTCCAGCTGCTAAGAAGACTACTAGAAGCCTTTTTTAGAAAGGAGGTTTGGGAGAAACTGAGTCTCTCAGGCTTGTGCTGAAGGGTGAGAAACTTCTCAGAGCCAGTCACCACCACACTAACCCCAAATGTTTTAGGCCTCACCTGAATAAATTAGTAGAACATCAAATCTAGCTGTGTTCCTATAAGGCTGCTGCCAATTGCTTATAGCTATAAATTCCCTGTCCTAAATGCCCACTTGAATACTGTTGCATTTTCACCAGCCAGCAAGCATGTGCTTTCAACCAAGCCTTGCTGCAGATCAAGGCTTGACACAACAGAGCATAACACAGAAATACTTGTGAAGAGTCCGTGACTTGGGCACTGTATTAAACACCCTGGCACTCGTCCTGTTTTCTTGCAAGAGGAAGGAAATGGGGGAAAGGAGAGGAAAGATTAAGGAGAACATATGTGGATTTTTGGTGCTTATTTCCCTGCTTTTTATAGTTGTTAGAACCGCACAGAAACAGAACACTTGGTGCAGAGGAGAATGAGAGTTCAGCTTTTCCCTGATCTTCACCATTGCTCTGGATGCGCTTGCAGGCAGAAGGAAAATGTTACGAACTGAAGCACTTACAGTAATTTTTAACTGACAGTGTTCCAAAATATGCCTGCCTCCCCAAAACTCCTGAGGCAACGTCCTCTGTGCTCTTTAACAGTTTGAGAATGCGAGCTTGCTGCTCGGCGTAATATTAGAAGGAAAACCGTAACTGAAGGTCTCATCTGTAAGGAGCCTTATTGAATTTGGACACTGACGCTGCACAATGCCCTGGAAATGACTCAGCGCGGCTTAAACTGATATCTGCAATTTTAGAAAGTAGCAGCAAAGACTTACAAATAGGACCCAGTTCTAACAGCTTGTCAAAGGAGCAGCAAGGCGTGGTTCCAAGTGTTGCACAGAACTGCAGAGCAAAAAAAAAAAAAACAAAGGCAAAAAAAATTAAGCGCAACAGCAAGGAATATTATCAAATGAAAAAATACTGTCTGCAAAGACAACAATAAATAGAGAGAATAGATGATAGAGGGCAAAATAAATTGATTTTAGCCAATACCTATCCCTCAGCGGAACTTTTGAGAATCTAATTTTTCTTTTCAAAGCTCCCATAAGTGTCCATTGAGACAGATGCGTAAAATCAAATGTTAATATAAAATTGACTGATAAGTAATGTAATATAGTCACAGTGCTACATTAATGCTATATGTTATATATTTTCTATGTGTTCCACGTGCTGATCATGTGGCCCAATACTAACCTCACACACACAATTATGATCAAAATGGTTTGCAGTTTATGGTATATAAGCAAGCTCTGACCTTGAACAACTTAAAGGTGCTGGAATTCCTGTTGACAGAATGGATCATAAAATGTTACTGCCTGAATTAAAGAGCCACAGCGCTGTAACAGAGACTTGTAACTCGTTTGTTCTCAATGGATCTGCAGCCTGGGATCTATTCACTAGTAGCATATGTTCACTATCAGGTTTGCAAGATTTTTTCCCGGAGAAACATTTTCTCCCAAATTCATCCTAAAATATTGGAACCATTCTTCCTTCATTCTGTTAATGTCTCATTTATTGTATCCTGCTGCATGACCAGTGGGCTAAAAGCAGAGGCAATATAAATGCTGAAGTTTCACAGTAGAAAGAGAATAGAACTAGGTGAAAATGAGCGATAGTAATTTACTGGAATTATAAAACTAAAAAATTAATTATAGAATTATAACACTAAAAAAACCCCACAATTACCAAGTGCATATTATTGACTATTTTATTTTTCATTGCTACACTTATGTTTTAAACACGTTGTCTCATTTTTGCAAGCACTAATAAAGGCTGGGTCTTGTTTTTGCCTTGTACTGGATTTTCATGTAATAAAAGACACTTTACAATTTAAATAGGCAAATATAGTATGCTGGTTTTAGTTAGAATATTGAAGTACAAAGGAATTAAATAATTTATCCAAGGTCATACAGAAACTATAGTACAGTCAGGAGATGACTATAAATATGTCAAATCCAGAATTTTGGTTTTTTATTTTTGTACTTCTGGTTACTTTTTCTGCCACATACACTGTCAATGCACTATCTTTGGCTTTCACTGGTTTTCCCTCCATATCTGCAACTAGCTGGGGGGGGGGGGTGGAGGGGTGAGGTGTGCATATCCCTCAGTGAATTCATGACAAGACCTATAAGAAGACAAAGGAACACCTGTATGATACTTGTCAATCCACTAGACCTTTCAAGAACCAAACATACAGTCATAGCAAAACACAGACACAATTCAAATTTAAAACTCCAGATGGTGCGTTTTTGTGTCACAGCTCCATAACGAGTAGGTACGCAGGGCCTTTGGGCTCACTGCTGTCCCCTGTAGCAGGAGTGATACCATCAGAACGTGTTCCCAGTGGTTCCTTCTCTGCATTGGACTTCTCTGGCTCATCCAACATGCCAAGTAGTATCTTCTATTTCTTAACTGTCTGCTTAGTTTGTCTAGTACAATAGGTCTTCCTGCTATGCTAGAGAATCTCATCACTGTAGAGCAGCATGCGTTGTTGTCATTGCTGCCTTAGTTGCAGAGCTGCTGCAGGAGGGGGACGTGTTGCCAGAGCCCAGCTGAGAGGTGCAGCTGGTGGCTTGAGTGTGTGGGATGGGGTGGACTTTTGGCCTGTTCCGTTACAGCCATTGAGATGTGAGTAACGGAGTTTGCTCACGTTTACGTTACCTGGTGTGGCCTTGTCTGCTTTCAACCTTTAGTCTCTCTCTCTAGCACAACAAGCTTTCTGCTTCTGAGAAAAATAATTTTGTGTTATTATGCCAGTAGCAAATTGTTTACCAAAATCCTGTAATCTCTTTTAGCCTAATATCATGTTTCACTTGCCAAGTACATACTCTTTTCTATTCTTCTAGCTTGGACATTCACACGCTGTCTCTCCCGCGTTTCACTGATATCTCGTTAATTCTAGGAGTCCTCATTAATTCTAGGAGTCCCTGTTACTCAAAAGTAAACGATGCCAGCTTTTTCAGGAGGGTCTTTTTTCCTTCTTTTTTCAAAGGTGATACACATGTGCACTAAGTATTTCTGCTCTAATTAAACAGACTGCTTGACAGTTACCAATATTTTACACTTTTATTTCTTCCCTTGAAGACTCATCCTCATTCATAAGTTGTCACCTGCTTTCAAGCTCGAGATTTTATTGACTTTTTCACTTCTACCAGCTATTGGATATTGGAGACCGTTACAAATCATCTACAATCACATCTTCAAGCAGGTCCTGTACACGTCAGGACTAAGAGTTGGTTTTCCCTCTGGGGAAACATAAACATCCAGTAAAAAAGGCAGGTGGATATGTATTCAAAGAGCCAGAAATCTAAAATTAAACATCCTAAGAATGTTAAACTAATTCAATAATCTATCACTAGAGAGGTAAAAGCTCTCTTTTAAGTACACTTTTGAACATTTCTGCATCTATATTGTATCATGTACCTCAGAGATATTTTAAAGTGTTGTAGGGAGCTGAATTCTTCTGTTTAATGGAAAGTACTCAGATAGTACACAATTCATATGAATTTATGTTACACTCTTAGAGGAAGCCATATCCTGCCTTTGTATAGGGCAGGCCTGATTAAAAGTAGTCATATAAAACCCTGAAAACATTTCATCCCTGACAGCACACGTGTCTCCACAACTTCACAATTACAGCAATATTAATAACTATAATAATGTTCCATGGCACCAATAAAAATATTGGCTATGGGAAAAGTTATTGTTAAGATAAGAAAGGGACAATTCAGTACTTTTTTCATATCAAGCTACTAAGAACCTGAGTCTGAAACAAATATAGTTCTAACAGTGAAAAGTACATCGAAAATATAGTTAAGAAAATTTTGCTGCTAACACATTTTTCCCTCAAAATAATCTAATCTTTATCTGTACTGGGCCTTCCCATATTCCTGAGACACATGAGAAGAACAGAATAATTACAGTGCCTTGAGGTATGTTTATGACTTCTCTGGAAGTGTAATCATCCTTTGAGGGAGTTTGCTTTAAAAAAGATTCCAGGATAATTTTTTAAAAAAGAATAAGTTTGCTCCCTTTCTTTACTAAGAGAGCATGCGTGTATGGAGCAAAAATACATTTATCACGTTATTGTCTACCTAAGATATGCCCACAATCAGGAGAAACCCGCATTTCATCTTCGGCTGAATTACAGATCTACAAATTAGGTCACAAAAAATGGAGGATACCATGATGAAAATCCTGATTTTTCTATATATGTAAAGAATAGGGGTTAACACATTGGATTAGAAAATACCCAAATAAAGAATGGACTATAGCCTTAGCTCTGCTTTTACACATATATTTTATGCTCGTATGGTGTGGACTTTATAACAAGATTAGAGTGAAATTATCTTGGCTAGTCCAGCAATTAAGACAATGATGGAGATTTCACAATAGAAAGTTACACATTATAGTTATTAGTGTGCACTCCAGTTAAAGTATTCTCCCAATCAGGACAAGGAGTACGTTGCTTCAATGAGAGATTATATGAGTTCAAACATATGCTTAGTTGTTTAAATAATGGCTTATTCTGTAAAGTATACCACAGCTTGTAAAATAATTTTGTTGTCCTCTCTGCAGCTGTCTAAGCCTCAAAGCTACTTGTTTTAATTCTTAGAAACCACTTAAAATGACAGCATCTGCTCTTTCAGGACTCTCATTACCCCCCCTCAGTACTACGCAATGAATCTAACTCAATTTGTAACCTGTACAACACCGGCAAAATCACATTTGTGCAAAAGGCTGGGGACAGGCTGCATCACAGAAATTATACTGATGGCTCAGTATAGCCTGCAGGCCTTATCCTTTTCAGGTTGTGCACTTCAAATTTGACTCAGCCCTGGTTGCGAATACAAAGCAGCTAAAATGTTTGCATCAGTCATCTCATGTATTACTTTCCTGAAATCAAGAGCTATGTCAGGAAACATGCATGAATCTTTACGATGCCTGAGAGCAATGACTATCTTTTCAACTGGAAGACCTCCTACAGCTTTTGAAAAAGATGTGGACACATCTTGCACAGTTTCACCATAAAGCTTTTCATTTGCAATTAATTACAATGAGGCAGAACTTTCAACGTTCTTGTGTTTTTATTTTTTCCTAGTCAGTTGTTTGCCAACTTGCACTCATGAGATTTTCTGTGGCTCAAAGAAAACTGCAACATTTTACTAAACCACCATTCAGTATTTCACAAAACAGCAATCATTCACAAACTGTGGGTTAAGAAACATCACCCTAGACATCTGTACATGTCCTGAGAATGCTTCTTCCAAATGGAAATCTGTCATCAGGATCTCAGTGTTAACTTCTACGGAAAAGATGGCTCCTCTGTCAGTCTAATACTGATTTATTGTTTCCCGAGTGAGTCCAGATACAAACAACCTGCTGCTTAATATCCTGCAGATCATAATTCAGAAGAATCATTTCAGCTAGAATCAGAGAGATTTATTTCACACTGGGCCTTTGTTCAGCAGCAAGGCAATCATGTTATAGCAGCTTTATACTGGAGGAGGTTGTTGAAGTATATTGTACTATATATATCCCAGCTGCAATAGATCAGTGTTGATTTATGAAAGACAGCATGAAGTTCACAGGCCACATACACACATTCAGGTGAAATAGGCTTGAGTGCACTGGAACCTACATCTGAATTTAGCAGTGCTTAACTTAGTGATCTCCACGTTTGAGCATCCTAGTCAATGTTCAGCCAACACAGAGGCCTGTCTCAAGCTGGGAGCATATGGCCCAACTGAGGAAGGCTTTAAAGGTCCCCCTTAACTGGTGGCCAGATGAAGGGCTGCATATCAGCCACGCTTGGAAATTGTTCCTCAGTAAATTGTAGCAACTTTAGTGCCTCAACACCTGACACAGTTAAGTCCTTTGCTTGCTTGCTTTACTATATGAAAATATCTCTGTTTTAATTTCTGCAAAAGCAATTTGAAAGAGAAAAATTAACAGAAGTCTGAACTTAGAAGTAAAAGAAGGAAACAACAGTAGAGGTCTAGGTATGCTAATTAGCAACAGCCTTCACTGAACAAAATGACATACACATTACTAGCGCTAAAAGATATTGATGGTGGATAGGAATTCAAAGACTTGTTTGTAAAGACAATGCCTCTCCCAAAAAAAGGCTGACTGCCAAATCCTATGTATGTGAAAAGCAAACCTATAATTACCAGCTTGCTCTAATGAGAGAACCTGTTTCAAATCACGCAAACATGCCCCTGAGTCTCCACTGACCTCTACAAGCAAAGCACTTCTGTCAACCTGAGCATAATGACTCCTCATTTATTCATTAAATATAAGAGGAGAATCATGCCTATAAGGCATTGTAATTTGCTTGTATTTTCTTTTTAATCCCCTACAAAACTTTTTTTTGCTGATAAGGGAGACTGCATCGGCTTGGATGAAACCAAGATGTCTTCATCACGAAGGATCTCTCTGCTGTTGCAAGTCTCTTCAGGCAGAATTTCTTCTGTTAAACTTTTTGCTTTGATGTTGAATCACTCCTCTTAGTGAAGGATCAGTGAATACAGAGAGACAAGGAATAAAGTGGCGTAAGGTGTTTCCTTGGCAATGTGCATATCTTTGTCACCAGAACAAAATAAAATAGCACCAAATTACTCCAGAACAAAAGAAATGGAAAGGCTTTTGAAATCTGCAAGCCAGAAAAGAGGGCACTAATACAGTGCATGAACTGCTGCTCAGCATGACAGAGAATTAACACACCTTTTGAGTTAAGAGGCCAACCGTCAGGATAATGAGATCTAGTTTAATCTAAGCTGACATGTTTTATGTATACAAATAAATGGAAGACCTGGTACAAGACATATTAACTCAGACTGAGCCTCTGCTCTCTTTGAAAGCCTGTTTTGCACAGCTAAGCAAACAGAGGAAGAAAAACAACAGTCAAATCACCCTTTGTAAAGGTGTCACTGAATACATAAATCAGAATTTTTTTGCTTCCTCTTGCTACACATAGAAAAATTAATAAGGAATGAATATTTATGAGGGCCAAGTTGCTTTTTTTTGTGTTAATGGACATGAGATGAGGAAAAAACCCATTAACTTTGTAGTTAGTGCATGGAGCTATGATATAGTGCTGTACTTGCAGTTATTTAAAATTAACAGTGAGATAAACAAGTAGGATCCTATATAAGGTATTATGAGCTGGTACCATATAACAGAGAGATAACACATGCCTTATGGCACTTCCCCACTTCAATAGGTACAGCCCACAGAAGCAAGTTCATTTTGGAAGCCCTAGAGATGCTTTGTTTCTCAGTCATAGTCTTGTTTTATTGGAAAGCAATCCATGGGACATGCTTGGTCATCCCAAGGACTCACTAGTTCTAGGCAGGCTAGAAATTAGCAGCATTCTGCTTATATGAAAAACACTTTTCACCCTAGTCATCCTCATATTGCATAAAACCAGACACTAAAGGTTAATAACAAGAAGAGTAAAAAGATTACATCTTCAAAAGAGCTTGGTGAAATTTAAGCTTCTTTGTCCCATTTGGCACTTATCCATGACTATAAGCAAGCTTTATCTGCCAGTTCTTCTGAAACAGTTCATAGAAATTTAAGTCACATTAGCCCCTTTCAAAAGTTTACCACATGAAAGAATGGAAACAACCGCCAAGTCAGACATGACTTTTCTGAAAAAATCGTGACATATTTTTGACTCTCCTAAAAAATCCCATTTATAAAGTTCTCAGTTTCTAAAACAGTTTCCTTTTTTTTTTCTCCAGTTTTGGTTCAATGGAAGCCAGTAAAAACATATTTTTGGTAGCATATTATCCCCCTTAATATAGATCTACACAGCCTATGGTCTGTGTCAAGTTTTGTAGAGGCATAATGCTTGGAAATGAGCAAAGCATTTTGTTGATGATGTACAAAAACACAACAGAAATTACTTACTCCATGAAAAAAACCCAAATGGTAAAGTCTTGTTTTAACTTGAAATAATAAGCTGCTGTTCTGAACTGACAGGAGGAGTAGATCTGATGAATAAGGAAATATTCTTTTCAGTCAGGTACTTATCATAGTAGAACCAAACTTCAGAATTTTATCCAATCTAACACTGTTCTGTGTCAAAAAATTGGGAGATTAGGAGCTTTAGCTACTGAGACATAGACACATTTGCTTTTCTAGACTGCTGTGGAAGCAGGAATCTCTGGAAAAGAAAGTGGACAGAGAACAAGAAATGATGACACCTAAAGCTTTCACAGCAGGATTCCTTACAGCTCACCTATTAGAGACAAGTCACATATTCACAAACAACTGTCTGACAATGTCTGATCTTGATGATATTTGGGGCACATTATGGAGGTTTATTTCTTCGCTAAAGCAGTGAGGAAGGGAAACTATTATTTCTTGAAAATACTTAAGTTTGAGATACCATAGTTTGATTTATTGCATTTAACCTTGTTTTACATGTAAGTAAGTTAGAACCTGAAAAACAAAGGTATACCGTTGTAAAAGACGCAGTTCAGAATGCAAGTGTTAGATTATAACACTGCAGGATTACATGCAACTACAAAATTCACCTCCATTTATTCAAGTATAGTCTAGTATAGTATAGTCAAAGTCTAGTATAACTTTAAGTCCTTTTAAAACATCATTATTGCTGAGAAGTGCAACTGCACAAATCAGTTGTTCCTTCTGCACAGAAAGGTGTGTGAAGAACACTCATGGAACCTGTCCTAGTATTTTAGCTAGGCTACCTATCGATCCCTCTGTTAGGGATGAGATCATCTACTTATGTCAAAAATAGCTTATCAGAAGCAATAAATCTATTAATTAATTAAAATCCAATACTCACAAAGAATGGGATGAGACCAGAAGCTTTATCTTCATCCAAAACTTTCTTTAGGGCTGAACCACAAACACTAAATGTATCATCTGAAGAAACATTTTTCATCTTCACACCAGCAATTAATGCAGCCCTTTCCACTGATGAATGAGCCTACAAGGAAATGGGCAAGTTTTAAGACAGATACCTTTTATTGGAGTGTAAGAAGTTAATTTGAATTTTAAAAAAAGGAAATATTTTCTTTCAAATAAACTGTTGCTGGTACATAACACATACATACCTCTCTCTCTTTCATATAGATAGACAGACACACATACATATGTATATATACATACATATATGCACACACACGACACTAATAGAAACCCTGAAGTATTCTTGAGACCATTGCTATGGTGTAATTCAGACAAGAGTTCAATTAACCTTAGTGAGAACTTTAATTAACATGCTCACAGTTAGGTAGGATTGAATAAGAGCTTCAGGATTTGGCTCTAAATCAACTAAAAGACATGCAGATAATCAGCTTGCCTGAGAATGATTCAGCTCCTCGCTAGCATATTTTTATGGCATACAGATTTGCTGAATTAAAATAAAATATGCATCATGGTATGGTATAGACTGAGATGTTTTCTTACATGACCATTTTTTTAGATTACCTGCTGACTAAATTGTGGTTCAATCATACATTCATTTTGTTAGGCAATTAAGGATCATTCCAAATATGCTATTTTTATTTATAACCCACTTTATTCGAATTCCCCTTAGATAATATTTTTTAGAACATAAAGCGCATCTCAGTAAATAAAAACAAAGATATCACTAAGAAATTCTTACAAATTTGTGAAGTATAATACAATAACTCTATTAACAGAAAAAGTACGTTTATCCACAAAATACTCTCATTTAGAGCTTGACTAAACCCAAAAAAAGCTAGTTTACCCTCCACCTTCTACAATTTCATTAATCATCATTAATTTGAAACAGAAAAATTCCTCACCATTTCATATCATGACTAATCTCATTCATAATCTCCATCCTACCCTTGTTGGTTCTCGCTAGTGCCTACAAGAGCACTTACTAATTCTATTCTAATTTAGCATACAATCATGGAAAAGATCAAGCCAAAACACAGGTTGAACAAGACCAGATGAAGATAAAGGTGAGAATATTTGGAAGTTTACACTTGAAATATAACTTTTGAAGTGGAAGACAATATGTGTACCATAGCAAGAACATACTTCATTCAAGTGTACAATGGAAAGAAGTATTTTGTAACTGATTTATACAAGAACTGCAAATAAGCAAATCATAATAGTACACTGAGGTTGTTAGCCAGTCAGAACCTCCGAATTGGTTCCTCAAGTCTCCAAAATTGTAGTAAGGCTCTCTAATAACCACAGCCACTCGCAATCTTGAGGTTAAAATGCCAAGATGCTTTTGCATTATAACAAATCTTCAGTAACCTGCTGCTCCATGCAATGCATAGTCCTCAGCAAAGTATTCGGCAATCTCCCAACACCCTCAAGGAGAGCAAGGAACCGAACAGAAATCAGTGAAATGAGTGGGTGGCTGCTTCAGGTAGCCAAATAAACATGGCAAAAAAAAAAAAAAAAAAGGCTGATGAAGGAAATGTCCTGAGAAAATTTGAGAACATCAAAAAACCACCCTGACTTCTGTTCTGGTCCCAAACAGTCAGGTGTCTACTGTCAGGGGTAGCTGGATGCTCCTCTCATCTCCAAGGTCTCACATTCAGTGTCCCTTGCAAGAGAAGCCTCAGCCAGGGTAACCCAGGCACTAAAGCAGACAGGAGTCCTTTCTGCTGTCTTCAACACCCAAGTAGTTATTGGGGAAAGATTTGTTGACAATCCTGCTCTGTACTCATTAACACAAAGCAAAATTATTTCAATGGGATAAAGATTTTCCCAAAATGCCTGGAAGCTAAAGTGGTCTCCCAAGAGATATGAGATCTGAGGTTCAGCTTTCTGCTCTGGGTCTCCTTACTGGCCAACTTTTTGCCTCCCTCTTGATGCATTCTGGAAGTGTTGTGCTCTGTCAGTACATGGTTTCTCTCCCACAGAATGGCTTAGGTTTACTTTCTTTTGTGGATTATTGCCTGTGAGTCACACAGGTCTGTTCTTAATGCAGAAGGACTGGGGAGCTCTGCAACAATCTGCTTTGAAAGGTCAGCAATATCTTAAGGCAAATCCTTCTGTAAACATAAGATCCTCTGACCTTCAGTAGGCAGGAAGGCCTGTCAGTCCTCATTTCAGGTCGGCCACTTACGCGGGTCAAAACCCAAAAACAAGTAAAAGGCTTTGTGCATCACTGGGTCAGAGTTTGAGCTCTGGGACCGGCAGTCTGAGTAATACAGACCTTAAGGGCCCAGACAAAAAAAAGACAAATATCCTTTGTGCCTTTTGAAAACAGTTATCTTTCCTCATATTTTCTTGTCCTGACTCTTCTCACCCTACAAGTGTAGTCCCTCTTGCCACGAGCAAAGAGCGAATGTACTTCTAAATTTTTCTCCAGTGCTTTTTAACATACACTTAGTAGTAAATCAAGATAAGTCTGAAACCTGGCCATTTTATTCTGTGTAATCAGATACTATTTTAAAATAAACATCAAGTACTAAGGAAGTTTCTTCTACTCATTGACATTTAGATAAGCAAATGTCACAGCTATTGAGATAAACAGCATTACTCGGCCCTTCAGTAGGATTAGTGTACTAGAAAGGTAGGAGCAGCAGAACCCACAAGACTAAAATTTGCTTTCATTAACAGTAAAAGCCTCTCATGGTCCTGGCCTGCTGAGAATTTAGCCTAACTCAGTCTGCTAAATACCACTCACAGTCAGAAATCAAGGATTATGTCTCCTGTTTTCTTATAAGATTTCTTAGCTGGATTGATACATGGAGATCATAGGGGGGTTTTCTAAAAAAAAAAACCAAACCAAAACAAAACATTTTGAGCTTCTTCAAGTACTAAGACCATTTTGCTTTATATTTGTGCACTAGGTTTGCCTGTGTGCATGCATCTGCACCCATGCATGCATACAGAGGGAGGATGTATGTGTGTTTGTTTGCACATGTGTATGTAGGAGGAAAATAACGTGCACACACATGGACGCACAAGCCTAGATGTACCAAAAGATGGTCTAGACTTACCCAAGACAACAGAAATTAACACCTTACTCCAGTATCTTCATTCACTTTGAATGAGCTCATTTTGTAAAGAAGCAATGCTTATGTAACACTGACCTCTGGATTTTTATTCTTTGTACTATGGTAGCACACATGAGATTCCAGACCACTTATGACTGTACAATAAAATTTAAATAAGCAAAATCAAATATTCACCAATCCAAAGAGTTTATATTTCATTCACCTGCCTATTGAGATGGCTGAAATTGTTAAGTATAGACCCCCTGTTTCCATGTTTTTGTGAGGTACTCACCTGATCAGAAGCATAGGCCACCAGCCTCCCCATGATGTCTGCTTCTGTTAGGTCAGGCTTTTCTGACTGCACCTGTCTGATAGTTTTTGTTCTTGCAGCAAGCAGTGAAACCAGGGTGGCCTCGCTTGCACTTCCCTGTGGGACAAATTGAAGGAAAGTTCAAAAGGAAGACATTCTACAAGAAGAAAAGCAACATTTACTCCTGTATGAATCTGTGCAGTTGTTAACAGAAACTGCATATGAGACACTGCGCAATCTCATGCTTTTTAAGAATATGCGCAACAGCAAGGGAGGAATCTCAATCTGATCTTAGTCTCCTCCTTCCTGATGCCTCTGCCTGCTCTCTTTAATCTCTATGCTTGTTCAGTTTAGGCACCAGCCTTGCTATCAGTGCTAGAAAGCTGGACTCATGGGCTTAGACATATGTGAAAAGGCTCTTGACCCAGGTACCAATCATTTGTTAACCAGTGACAATGGCAGAGTAACTGTTGATTTCTGTTACTCGGGATTTCCGCACAATTATCTTCCATCAGAATCTGACTATCAACTCTCATTTCCACTAAGCAACGTGCATAATTATAATGCTTATTTAATATCTAGAGTTACCCTGGGCAAGTCAATCATTGTGGTGAAAAGAGAAAAAACATAGAAAAGGAAAAAAAGAAGCTATGATCCAATACAGCTAACTGCATTTCAAAGTATTAGTTATACACTAATATAACTACAAAATATTAGTTATATATTAGTTTTCTTCATCAAAAACACACAGATGAAAGGAACAGTTGCCCTTTGACTCACAAAACTTAAGTTTAAATTGTGTCTTGGATACTCTGTAACAAAGAGGGGAATTTTTTGTATCAATTGATCTGCAAATTTCACAAGAGAATATAAATTTCCACAAATTCTTTTTATGGTTTTCCTCTAGAACAGACATATGAAGCATGCTCTAAACTGCTCTTTTAAACTATAAGCAACTGTTTGTAAACACATGTTCATAAATTTCAATGGGTTTGGGTGTCCATATGCAAGATGGAGTTTTTAGGTACTTTCACTGTCATGTGAATCTTCCTCTGCCAAGCACGTAACAGTGCAATGAATACCATTGCTTATATTAACAAGTATGTCTCAGAAATATCCCCAGTGTCAACAAGCTAATTTTGGAGTGATGTTTCTTACCCTGTACCAAAATTCTTCCCTCACTCTGTTGAAGACCTGTGTATACTTACTAATATCAACAAATGTTTAAACATTTGGGAAGTCTTATTTCTTCCCTGGAGGTGGGCCTGATCCTACACATTTCATACATGAGAAGGACCCCAGGGAACTCAGACTTTCTCCTAATACTGAAGTTAGTTGAGCTATTTATACAAGACAAAGCTGTCTTCTGCACATGTCAACATCTCAACAGTGAGTGAACTCAATCCAGCTGAAATTCAACAGCCTCGTGAACGGAGTAAGCAGAAAAAGGACAATCCCTAAAAACTTACTAAATGTATTGTCATGATGAATATATTTTATCTGCCTCTCTGGTGGTGTGGGATTTGAGGAATGTAGACCCCACGGTCTGCATCAGAGCACAAAAACGAGCTGGAGACAGTTTTGGGCATTTCTTATAGCTGCTGCTGCTGCATACAGCATTATGGCAACTAAGGGAAATACTACAGTACAGAATGGTATAGGAAAACCAATATCCCTCTTGGGTCAAGTAAGGTAGAACTGCCATGCGGAGGCAAGAGGTGAAGGAAATTCTGTCCATTAATTACAAAAAACATAATTTGGCAATCTCTCCATTTCATCTTATTCTGCATATGGTCTGTAGCCAGATACTCAGAATACTCATCAGAATATCTGAACACCGAGAAATCATGCCTGTCCATAGTTCTCAAAACCCATGATGCAAGAGTGTGTGCACGTAATTATCTTCATCTCACATGTAAAGTACTTTCAAGAGCTGATTCATCTTAATTTATCTGTCTAAAAAGTTAAATATCTGAGATAAAATAATTGTTTAGGGTGTCTTAGTATTCAGTGGAGAAAGGTAAGGATATCCTAAAAGCAATAATTCCATCTATTTTACGCAAATATTCTGGACTGAGATAAATGGTTCCTCTCTAGGCACCTTCTTGTGTGTTCAACTTTATCTGCTAAAAAGTGAGATGAATCTCAGACAGTGTAAGTTTCCTGATGAGAAATTTCTGTCATCAAGTCTTTGTTAGTAAAATGATTTCTGCCATGCTCAGCACCATATTATCTAAGTAACAGTGAAAAAAATACCTGTGCTTCCTGACGGTCCTGTGAGCTAGAATATAATGACTCAGGTCCTGGATGTCTAGCAGGTGTGAGGAATGTTTTACAGTCAAGAACATCACCTATTTTCTCAGAAGTTTTTTTTTTTCCTATTTTATCTACAAGTAGTACATAATCTTCTAAAGAATCCTGCATAATCATAGAATGGTTTGGGTTGGAAGGGACCTTAAAGATCATCTAGTTCCAACCTCTCCTCTTCTCCAGGCTGAACAACCCCAACTCTCTCAGCCTGCTCTTATAGAGGAGGTGCTCCAGGCCCCTGATCATCTTCGTGGCCCTCCTCCAGACTCGCTCCAACAGCTCTATGTCTTTCTTGAGTTGGAGGCTCCAGAGCTGCACACAGCACTGCAGGTGGGGTCTCACAAGAGCAGAGTAGAGGGGCAGAATCACCTCCTCGACCTGCTGGCCACACTTCTCTTGATGAAGCCCAGGATGCCATTTGCTTTCTGAGGTGTGAGTGCACATTGCCAGGTCACGTTGAGTTTATTGTCAACCAGCACACCCAAGTCCTTCTCTGCAGGGCTGCTCTCAATCCATTCTCCACCCAGCCTGCATTTGTGCTTGGGATTGCCCTGACCAGGGGCAGGACCTTGCTCTTGGCATCCCTTCCCTCCAGCACATCAAACCACAACACACAGCTTGGTGTCATCGGCAAATTTGCTGGGGGTGCACTCAATCCCACTCTCCACGTCGCTGACAAAGATGTTAAGCAGGGCCGGTCCCAGTACCAACCCCTAAGCAACACCACTTGTCACAGCTCTCCATTTGGACATCGATCGAGCCATTGACCACAACTCTTTGAGTGCGACCATCCAGCCCATTCCTTATTCACCAAGTCGCCCATCCATCAAATCCATGTCTCTCCAATTTAAAGGCAAGGATTTCATGCAGGACAGTGTCAAATGCTTTGTACAAGCCCAGTAGGTGATGTCAGTTGCTCTTCCCTTATCCACCAATGCTGCAACCAGACCTGCATAATGGGCACATACTATCAGACAATGCAGCAGAGGAGAATACTTCTCATTTTTGCAAACCACTGCTACTTATTGTGAAGTTCATGCAGTTTTCAGGTAAGTTGTATGTCCTTATAATGAAGCTGGGTAACATAAAGCCTGTGTACAAGATCAAACTCCATCTCGCATTGGGCAAGTCACAGAAAACAACCTTTCTAAACCTGGGTTCTTCACAGTAAAGTTAGCTCTAGCACCCTTGCATTTAATCTGTAGGAAATCATACTAATTATTACTTGCATTAAAATATATATTTAAGGAGATACATGAAAATCTTTCAAATATATGTGGAGAAAATGGCGGGGGTTTTATTTTTTTTTTTTCTAATGATAAGGTCCTGTAAAACTGTTAGCATCTTTCTAGCACATGTAAGGAATATGCATATTAAAGAAATGCACACAAATATATAAAAGAAAATCACTACAGGAAAATCCAAAGATTAAGGCATTAATTTGAGATCTGGAAATTTACGCTCCCACTATCCTAGAGACTGCTTGGCCGGGTAGGCAAATGACTTAGACTCAAGAATAGCCTCAACCTTCTGAGGAGTGCAACAAGATGTCTTGGCATCCTGGCTGTTCATCCAGGCTGGTGCGTAGTCAGTGTATACAACAGTTTCTGTATGAATTTCCTTACCCAGAAACAAGGAAGAAAAGGGCATGTTGCCCAGCTGAATCCTTCCTCCTGATATGCATCTGGGACATGGCCTAAAGACACCTGCACCCAGCAGCTTGGAAATGTTTTTGGATGTCTCACAATAGACATAGGCTTTTTCACTTTGCCTCAGTTTCTATAAGTCACATTTTTTTTATACTGAAGCTTACAGTATTTGCAGAACCTGGTTTGTAAGGGTCTTCTATTCACTTGGCACCAAAGCCTTGTGCTAAATATTTTTGAAGAAAAAACCTTGTGGTTCTTGAACTACTTGGCTAACTGACAAGAAAGATAAATCAGCAGTGTTCTTTGCCAGGCCAAAGATAGGCTGAGTCTCATTTTGGTTTGCCCTTAAAATACTTTTTATTTGCCAAGCAAGAAAACTCTTTACAATTCAAAGCAGGTACACTTTTCAGCAGTTTATCTAGAATGAACAGCAGGATACAAGGTTCAGGAAGAAAGATGCTTTCTCACTCATTTTTAAAAGCTGTTTTTTTTCTCCTCTTGAATGCTGTATTCTGCATTAAAGGAAGGATGATGATACCTTTCCTTTTACTGCAAGCAAACAAAGGTTGCCATGGCAAGCAGGCTCAAGAGGCGGAAGAAATATCAGCAAGAGCTGATGTTCATGTCCACCAGAGCTCTGAACTGAAATTTTCTCTCATCTTTTACCATTTTCAAGTGTCATCCTGCACACAACAACAAAGTGCTTCATATTGACATAGACTTTCAAATGTAATTAAGAGCAAATTTTCACAGGCTCGGTTTTACCCAAGACCACAATAATTACTTGGTATTTAGCAAGAGAATAACTGGCACTTTCACATGCTCATGTTGTCTTTGCCTCACGCTCTCTTATTTGTATCATTATTGTTTCAAGAGCAAGACAAGAAGATGTGCAGCACAAATTACTTCATTGTAAGCAGGAACACAGAGCCCACTTTCGATTCTTGAAGCTGACTGGTTTCTGATGAAAATTATGGGCAATCCAACATTGTCAGCCTGGAAGGGCAATATTTCCTTCTGATAACCATCAGGCATGATTACTTGCTTTCACTGGTACAAAATAAACACTGCTGAGATGCGTGACAAAAGCTTGATTACTTGAACATAACCTCCTCCCTAGTAATCGTAACGATGAAGATCCTAAAAGAGCAAGCAGATGAGTAAAGAGTTATACTGGAAATACACTGGTGTAGGTGCAGGTCCACCTAGGAAAATCATAGCACTTGAGTTAAACTCATACTTGCCTGGGAGGATGTTGGGAAGAATTCACTGGAGTATGCTGTAGGCATTTGCAGCCGAGATCAAAGAAAGAAGCTCCCACTTCTCACATGTAATTCAGATGTATTTTAGAAGCCTGTCTTAGGATAAAATGGATTGTGCCCTGGCCTCCAATGACCAGACTCCAGAGATTACCAAGGAGTACAGAACAATTATTTTAAATTAAGTCTTTTTTATAGTAGAGATCTATTTTAGTTAGATTAATAGCTGTGACCAGAGCCTGCATTTGCTGAAAAACCATGTGCTAGCAGAGCCATGGCTGACAAACAATATAGCTTTATTATGCATGCAAGTTTGCCCACTGATGATATATTCATTACCATACAGATACACTGTTCAGACATTGTAGGCTTTCATTAAGCAGTCAATGTCAAAGTTTGGAACTTTGCTCTATTTTGGATACCGCAGTGTAGTCTGAAAATTGTGTTATCTACTGATAGAACTGTTGCGGCTCAAATTTTAAGCAGCTCTTTATTATAATATTGCAAGATATCATTTTCTATATAAGGAAAATTTCTTAAAATAATTTCAACTTCTTTGACAAAGACTGATAGTCTTTCTACTACATTCTGTTATTTCTACTTATAGAATATTCTCTCCTATGTTGTTATCCATTGCTTGATCTCTGATGAAAAAGGAAGGCTGTTTTAGAAACTGACTGAAGTAAACAATTGCACATGTATAAGGTTTTCCTGGTTTGGCTGGGACAGAATCCCAGCCCAGCCATGCCAGGCAGGCTGTTAGCAGTTTGGAGTCAGCCAGGGCAGCTGACCTGAGTGAGCTACAGGGGTAGCCCATACCAGGAGGAAGATTTGCTGAGGAAGGGAAGCACCTGTGGGGCTCTGGCTAGTGTCCTGCTGGGGTTCCTCCTGCTCCTCCTCTGGCTTCTCCCTCCTCCTAAGGACTGCTCTCCTGTTGACTGTGACTGGTGCATGTTCATTTGGCCGAGTACAACTGTGTACACCTTTGTTGGTGTTAGTGCTGTTTCATTAAATCTCTTTTCACTTCAACCCATGGGTCTCTTCTCCTTTTCCCGATTCCCTTCCCTGGCTGGTGAGAGGTTGTTAGCTGACAGAATGACTGTTATAGTTTAGCCCCAGATATGGGCTAAACATAGACAAAGGTGACCTTCACGGAAGCCTTTGTAACCACTTTTCATGATGCTCTACTCAAAATCCTCATATATATTTCTATTTGAGAATTTTTTTCTGCTTTCAGCCATGAAACATTGCTGCACACGGTTGGTAAGTACAAGCTCACTTCACTTGATGAACAAATTAAAGTTTCCATCCTACATGATTTTTCAACATTATGATTTGAATTTTAAACTCGAATTGTACTGCTAAGTTGAACTACCAGCAATTCCTCACAGAGAAGATTATTTCAGAAATCAGCCGCTCTGAAAACAAAACCATTACATTCATGATTGATCCTGCCCACCTATGGACATCCTTACAGAACATCAGTCTTTCTGAAAATCTGAAAGGAGCCCATGTGGCAGAAAAAATTATATCTTTCCTTTATGAAACAAATCCTGTATTCTTTTTTCATGTCCTTTCTTACCTGAATGACTCCTCCACCTTGGCCATCCTTCCCAGCTAAAAACTCTTCGGGCAAATTAATCATCTTCCCTAGCCAATCCAGCATGACAGTCTCCAGCTCTGTACAAGCTGGACTTGCGGCCTGTGTTGAAAAATAGAACAGAGGGAATAACCTCACTAGACCATGAAAGAGAAATAGGACCTACCAGAGAAAGAATAACTTTGTCTTTTGACTATAGAGGAAAAGACTAGCTGATTAACTTCACCAGCTAAATTAGGGACCCAAAGACCATTTTGTCTTACTAAAAAAATGTCAAACTGGGCCTCACACAGAACCATGACTATCAAACGTCAAAGCTGGGATTTGCATCCTGCATAATTTTTTTTTCAACATCAGGTACCAAGCTCTTTGAGAAGAGCCCATATCATATGAATGTGGGGGGTTTTAACACAATTTTTCATTCATCCAGATGATAAGAGAAGTAACAACACCAGGTGATAGGCAACAGTTATACTACTTTACAAATTATCAGTAAGTTTGCACTGCTACAGCTAATTCTAAATGCTGGTGATTTTTCAAGGGCAAAACTTCTACAAGGAAATAGCCTTTTATTCCTGGAGTCATTCAGACTGTCTATGTGAAAACACTTAATTAGTCAAGGAAATTTACTATAAAAATAGTCCTGGAACTTCACTTGTATTATTAATAATTTAATTGAAGAATGTTACCGAAATGCTTAAAATCTTAAAAAACATTACCACTTAGCAGTACATACCCCAGTAAACTTACCCAAGAGAAGCCCACACATCCTATTCCACCACACAACATATCTGCAAGAAGAGCTGGGAAGGAAGAGGCTGAAGGGAAGTAGGCAAAAAAGTATGGACTGTGCCAGTGAGTCACCTGTTTTAAGGAAAAAATAGTAAACTTTTAACTAATGCAGGAAGCAGAAACAACTAGTCACAAAATCAGAAAAGATTAGAGGTTGGGACCAGTAAACAGTTCTCAAATACCTGGCTGTAACATAGGTTCCCATTTTTTAGAAAAGCTACACCTCCCAACAGTTCCAAATTCAGAGCTCTCCATTTGTCTGCCTAGAAGACAAGAACTGCACGGGCAATGGCAGCATGATTTTCTGTGCAGGGCACTGTTCTTGAGCCTCTGCTTTCAGGGACTCTCTGGTATTTTGTTTTTTCATCTGTCATGCAGCTGACTTAGCAAGAGCATCTCCACTGCAGCAGAGGTCCACAGAACCCTCTTGCCCACACTCTGGAATTATTTGATAAAACTCAGGCACTGAATCTGGCCAAACAGGTCCTCACCAAATGAAACAATCCATTCCAGTATCCAACACCTTCTGTAGAAAATTAAACTATCACCTCCCTACAACAAGTAGTTCCATTTTATACGTACTAATATGAGAGAACAACACAATAACTGCACAAATTGTAGTCAATTGTCTTGCAGCAGCAATATTTAGAATTATCTTATGCAACATCTAAGCAATTTTAGGCATCTATGAGATCCTTAATAGTGCTCCACGACTCCAATCTAATCAAACTTGAAAACAGGAAACGTACCGTCACACTGCAACGTTCAGTGGAAATAATGTGATATGACATATTTGTCAAAAACAGCTTTCACATTCAAGATAAAAGGTAAATTTTAGGGGGGGGGAGATGGACTATAAGCAAGAATTCAGCAGAATGTGTATAAGATCTTTCCTTAGCTGGAAATCCAGAGGCTGCTCAGTTACTGAAGCCTAGCTGTTTTGGTTTTGGTTTGTTGTTTGGTTTTGGTTTTTTTTTTTTAATACTGGAGTTCTGTTTCAACTGGAGCACGCATTCTGTTTTGCCTGAGGTCAGTGTTTACTTGCTGTTTTGTTCCACCTTCCGACCTCTGATTAATTTTACCTTTCATGCTCCCCTCCCCCAGTCTGTGGTAAGGTTTCTAGTTCTGGAGCTAACTCAGAGAACACTGTACCATACTGTTCTGTATGCTGCAAACACCCCTTTATTTCCTCTTCTAACCTTCTTTATGCCAACAACCAGCTCTTCTTTAAGGGACATGGCCCATGCTAAGGGGAAACTGTCTTAATTCTTGTAAACACAATGAATCAGATATTGCTTTCTCTGCTTGCCGTATATAATATTTCAGATACCCCTATCTCTTTCACATGAATTCCTATCCACTACAATTTTCCACTGTCTAAACTAGCCCTGTACCTGGTAAGTTCAATATTTCACTTTTACTGGTCACTAGGTCCAAATCTGCTCAAAGGAGGTATCCAAAAACAAGCCACTGCTAACATTTTTAGCTGCATCTCTTATATCTGGTTAGGATCTCTGTCTTTGCTGTAACAGAGTATTAGAGCACTTGTGGCAAACACCTTCCTTCAGAAATCAGAAAAAAAAAATGGGATGGGACTTGGTTCTTCACAGGAAAACAATAAACAGATTTAAAAATACCCAATAAACAGGAGTCCCTGATAGGACCCACATGCACAGACTTTCCCTGACGTCCATAATGAGCCAGGGCTGCCAGTGTTCATCTCCCCAGCTCTAATCCTTTGTGATCTGTAAGACTTGTGACATTCGTCTTGGGTTAATCAAGTTAAACTGCTTACTTGCTGGGAGCCATTTGTTTGATGAAACACAGCAGATTCCAGTCGCACCACTCACACAAAGTGAAAAAGCCAAAAGCCCTGGGGCAAGTGCAGCTGCGGTTCTTCCTCCTGCCTCCCCTTCCCCCTTCTCTTGAAGCAGCTGTAAAATTCATTTCTTTCACCATGTTGGAACAGACAGACTTAGTCAAATATTGCAAAGAGCGTGACATAATTGATGCTTGTTTTTTCAGCCCTCTACTGATAAACAGCGATACACAAGTGTCTTGGGTTCAGTAATTACCACCCTAATGCTTCTCAGAGACATTTTATTTCCCAGTTTTCTTCAAAGGATATCTGTCTTTGTGGCTTGCTTAGTCTAAGCAAGAATCTTCTTTTACCACACACTAAAGACAGGTACTTCAGCTGAAAGTTCACAGATTAATAGATCCAATGTGAGAGAAATTAGCGTCTTCAGTACTGCTATTGGCAGTTACAGCCAAACTCAATCATTTTTGGCTTTATAAAAGAAGGAGATATATTTCAAGAGAACAAAGCAACTCTTAGAAAGGTGACTGCCACTGATATGTTTATATGCAGATGGACTAGGAGCCCTGCTATGTCTAGTGAAGCACCCAAACAACCTGAGTGTTGACCCTGGTGTTTGCAACAGGAATTTGAGTTTTAAGACCAGTGGGACCCTATTTCAGAATCAACTCCTAGGGAGGATCCACCTGTAGAACTGGGGCAAAGATATCTTTGCAGACAGGCTGGCTAACCTGGTAAGGACAGCTTTAAATTAGGAACGAAGGGGAAGGAGATGAAAAACCACCATCGAGGGAGGAAGGTGGACTGATTTGGCAAGCAAAGGGTAATGTGGACAAGAAAGACCTTGAAAACAAGATAGGGCTGAAGCAGACCCACCACAAGCGTAGGTACATAAATAAGGAAGTGCTGAGAGTATGTCATTATGGGGGGACGCTCCCCGATATCTTTTCTAGGAAACCAGCACAAGCGAGTGCCTCTCTGAAGCACCTGTGTGCTCTGGCGTGATGCATGGGGAACAAACAGGAGGAATTCGAAGGCTGTGTGCAGTTACAGGGCTGTGATCTCATTGGGATCACAGAGATGTGCTGGGATAGCTTGCATGACTGACATGCTGCAGTAGATGAGGACAGCCTCTTTAGGAAGGACAGACCAGTAAGGCGAGGCAAGGGAGTGGTCCTTTATGCAAGAGAGCAGCAGGAAGGCAACAAGGGGCTCTGCCTAGGGATGGACAATGAGCCAGTCAAGAGCTTATTGGTCTGGACCAGTGGAGATTTCAAGATGGGCAACATTCAGGTGGGCGTCTGCTACACACCACCCGATCAGGAAGAAATACATGAGTACAGCATCAGACAGCTGAAATAAACCTCATGTTCGCAGGTCATAGTCCTCGCAGGGGCCTCTAACCAAGCTGATATCTGCTGGGCAGACAACACATCAGGGCACAACCACTCCAGGAGGTTTCTGGAGTGCATTGATGATAATTTCCTAACACAGGAAACTGTGGAGGAACTGATGAGGTAAGACATGCTGTGGGACTGCATACTTACAACAAGAAAGAACTGGTCGGGGATGTGAAACTTAGGGGCAGCCTTGACTGCAGTGACCATGAGATGGTGGAGTTCAGGATCATGAGAGCAGGAAAAAAGGCACAAAGCAGATCATAACCCTGGGCTTCAGGAGAGCAGGCTTTAGCCTGTTACAGGACCTGCTTGGGAGAATGCCATGGGAGACAGACATGGAGAAGAGTGGTCCAGGAAAGCCAGTTGATTCTCAAGGATCACCTTCTCCAAGTTAAAAAATTATCCACCCCACATGAAGGATGTCAAGCTAGAGTGGCAGAAGGCCTTCATAGATGAACAATTAGCTCCTGACAATGCTCAAATGCAAAAAGGAAGCATATATAAAAGCAAGGAGGGTCAGATGACCTAGGAGAGGAGGTCTATAAAGACCCTGCCTGAGTATGTAGGGATAGGGTTAGGAAAGCCAAAGCCATCTAGAGTTGTTGGTGAGGGATGTGCAGGGCAACAAGAAGGGCTTCTGCAGGTTCACCGACATTAAAAGGAAAGTAGGGAAAATGTAGGTCCACTGCCAAATGGGGTTGGAGACTTGGTGACAAAGGACAGGGAAAAGGCTGAGGAGCTCAATGCCTTTTTCACTTCTGTCTTTCCTGGTAAATTTGCTTTCAGGAATCCCAGGCTCATAAGATGCACTGGAAAAGCCTTGAGCAAGGAAGACCTCACCTGGAGCAGGATCAGATTAGGAAACATTTAAATAAACTGGACATACAATTAATCATTGGAGCATCTGTCACACATCATGCCATGTGATGAAAGGCTGAGAGAGGTGGGATTGTTCACACTGCAGAAAGCTCACGGGGTATCTTGTTAATGTGTATAAACACTTCATGGGAGGGTGTAAAGAAGATGAAACCAGATTCTTCTCAGCAGTATCCAGTGACAAGAAAGGAAGAAACATGTATGAATTGAAATACAGAAAATTCCACTTAAACATAAGGAAAAGCTCTTTTACTGTGAGGGTGGTTGAACTTTGGAACAAGGTAACGGAGAGATAGTGAAGATTTATTCCTTGGGGACAGTCAACACCGAATTGGACACGGTCCTGAGCAGCCTGCTCTAACGGACTCTGCTTTGAGCAGTGGGGGTGGAGTAAATGATCTCTAGAGGTGCCATCCAACCTCTACTATACTATGACTTTGTGATTCTGTGCTCATGTGACTCCTCAGTATTTAGTATAAACAATATAAGCAGAATCAGAGTTACTATAAGAGCTGGGATTTATGTACTTGTGCTCTTTGCATCACAAACACTAACATTTCACACCAGAGGAAAGTTTTGGGTAGAACAGTTCTTTTTCAGAATATCACTTTTACAAAGTAAATTTATTTGCAGGGTGTATAAATATCAAGAAAAAAAATCAATTTGGTTAGGAGGGAGCATGCCATGTTGGTGACATAACTGGAATTCAATGTCTCACTTTCTATTCCCAAATGATTCATCTCTTATTTTTTAATTTGATATTATTTTATGGAATGTTCTCAAGTGTTCAAAGTGTTTTCTGTTCTACTTCACAGAAAAAATATTGGTCATTTTTTTCCTCCAATGAAAAAGAAAAGGCCATTGTATTTGTGCGCAGCAATGAAACTATTTGCATGTGTTGGACATAATTCTCTTATCTAATCTACACTGATTTAATTCTGTTGGATTTAAGACTTCATCCACAAATCTTTGTGAAGAGCAGAGAGATTTCCATTGACTTTAGTGGAGCTTTTGCCTGTGAAAGGACAGCACGGTTGGCTCCAAGGAAAACAAGATAAAGTCATATTGAATATCAAATATTTACATTGGTCAATGAAAAGGAATTGGTGTTATAGTACGCTGACTAAACACATTTGCAGAGCAGTGGTTTCATGTCCAGTCACATAGCAATCTTATCACCTAGCTACATCCAGGGAAGCAACCCAAAGTGGTTATTGCAGAGATCCAAAGGAGAGATTCCTCATTAACATTTACTAATAATCCAGTCCTCTTCAAGCTCCTTAGATGCCTTACGAAACAAGCTGCCGCGGTTGAACCCCAGCTGGCAACTAAGCACCATGCAGCCGTTCGCTCACTCCTCCTGCCCCTCCTGGTGGGATGAGGAGGAGAATCAAAACCAAGTAAAACTTGTGGGCTGAGAGAAGAACAGTTTAATAATCGAAATAAAACATAATATCAATAATAACAGTAGTAATAATAACTGTAACGAAAAGGAAGATAAAGATAACAAAAAGAGAGTGAAATAAAACCCAAGACAGACACGTGATGCACAATGCAATTGCTCACCACTCGCTGAACGATGCTCAGCCAGTTCCTGAGCAACTATCTGCCTCTCCCAGCCAACTCCCCCCAGTTTATATATTGGGCATGACATGGTATGGCATATTCCTTTGGACAGTTTGGGTCAGCTGTCCTGGCTGTGTCCTCTCCCAAATTCTTGTGCCCCTCCAGTCTTCTCACTGGCAGGGCATGAGAAGCTGAAAAATTCTCGGCTTAGTAAATCAAAAACATAGGACTGAAACAGCGAAGAAAATTAACTCTATCCCAGCCGAAACCAGGAGTCAAGCATATATTTAAAATAAAATTAAAAAAAGGTATGCATGAGTGGAAAACCAAGAAAGACTCAGAACAAATGCCAGGCACTTTGTTCTGCATTGTCTGTCCAACACTGATCGGCCCAAGGACTAATATTTAGGTAGTGTCCATCTGCCTTAAAAGGTACTAGAAGAAGCTGACATTTAGGAGAGTAAGTCAACAGAACAGGTATTGGGAAGAATCCTTTCTAGTCAACTCTGTCATAAAAAAGAAGTCTCCTAAGAGAATTTTAACATTTAAAGATCAGCTTGAAGGAACACCTCAAGCACAGCAGACTAATAAAAATCCCATTTTATAAAATATTTACTGTACTTTGCAAGTAGCAAAAATATCACGTGAAATTGAAAGTTACAAAGCTTTGCCTTAACCAGCTCAAGGGAGCAAAGGGGATTATTTCCAAAAGCAAGCCTTGCAGGAAGCAAAAGAATGATTTGATTATTTCTAGCAAGAACAGAAAACATTGTGTAAAGTGTTAGATTATATTTAACTATGGATATAAAACAGATTCCTGCCTTCTAAAAGCTAATCAGTGTGGATACTTATGTTTGTAAGGTCCAGCTGCACAGTCTTCAATCCACACTTTCCTTCAAGTCTTTGAAAACCTAAGTGCAGTATTGAACATTACACCACAGATCCATTTTTCTTACCCCTGGCATAATGATCTTCTCAATGTCTTTAAAGACATCCTCAAAGTTCTCAGGATCCTGGGGTGCACAGTCCGGAATGAGGGGCCTTAGATAACCTGGTTCCACATCTGGGAAGACCTGTCTTCGATCTATCTTCTCCAGGTAATCTGCAATATAGTCCACCATCTCCTTCCCTCTCTTGCGGAACTCTGCAGCATCCATGGGATCAGAGTTTAGGACTTAGTATGAGAAAAACCCTAAAAAAAAAAAAAAGAAAAAGGAAAAGTCACATCTGAAAGAAAATTTTAATGGTTTTAAACCTGTTATTCGGATGGTTTATAGGATGACTCATATGGCTTTTCTGAAAAGACTATGTGTGTTCTTTCATTTCTGCATTTTAGGCCAGTGCCCATCCAGTGCTGCATTCTGCTCCACTCTAGTATTAGCTGGCCACTGTATAGAAGTAAACTACACTGTTAGAACTTTGATGGCTAGATCATGATGTAGACTAGCTTAATGCAGATAGGCTGTATCTTTAGCACAGAAGAGCAGTAGAGGCACATTGATGAAGATTCAGAAATCACGGGTTTAATCCCTACTGCTGCTGGTTGACACAAGGATGTGGGTGGCACTGTTATGTGGCCTATAATCAACTCCCTCCTGCCTTATAAAGAAGAGGTCTAAGAAAATAGCATGCTGTGAGTCTCTATTATAATCTATAATAATAAGCTATAATAATCACAGCGATCCACTGTGCTGCCCTCTCATTTTATCTACTTCTTGCCTCCTGTCTTGCCTTGAGATTTAGCTTCTTTACTCTTTCACTGTAAATGCACGTGCTGTGCCATTTACAAAACCTTATGGCTTACTGAGGTTTCCATTAGAATTCACTTAGAGTTGATCTGCACTGTATTTTGCAGAAGAATGTGAGGAAGGTCTGTCTGGGGCTGTCCCTATTTCCAAGATGTTGGGCTGGAGCTCTAGGTGTGCTTTGAGCTAGGCAGAGGGTATACGGCTCAGCTGAGATGAGCTGGAGTTTGCCTGCAAAGTGCTGTGCAAACATAAATTCATAGTGCTAGGGTGCCTGCTCCTGCCACCCTGGCCTGCCCAACTTTTTTTACTGTATGTGGCTGTGCATTTTGAGTGCTCAGTGAATACAAGATTGAGACCACAGCCTACAAAGCATCCTCCAAGAGGCTTTATACACTCAGATTGAATGACTGATACTGTTCCTTGGGATCTAGTAAGAAAATTGGCAAGGGAAACAAGGATACTCACTGCTGGTGTAAAGATCACTATGCTTATTTCACACACCTTCAGATCTTCACTTTGTATGGAAATAAATATATTAAGCACAATATGAATATTATGTAATTAACAGATAATTTCTTAGATATCGGTTATTTGTGCTAAGGATTTATAACTGAGGACAACATTTTGAGAAAAGCGAGACCCTTCTGGGCTTCATTATATTTCAATTAGTATTGTCACATTACAAAAGAAAGACATCATTGACAAACACTGTCCTAGAGACATCTCTGCTGCTACAAATAGAGGATCTGGGATTTTGTGTGGCGCAGCTGCTGCTATTTAAGGCGGCAGGGTGATGCTGTAGGTCACGAACCACTTGGGAAAGCAAGGATCTGCACAGTAGGGACTTCTAGACCCCAGAGAATAGCTGTTCTAGTTGCTATTTTGTTAGAGTTATATTACTGTCTTTACATTACTGTTATCACGTAAGTGTTTAGTTGGCTCTCTCTATGCCTTTCTGAAAGGGCAATTAGGACCTTTCTCAGATTTTGCTACTAAATTGTTGGAAACATTACCAGTAGTCATTATGGTCCTCAGAGGATTCTGGTGGGCAGCTTTGTGTGTCAGCTCCCCTTCAAAAGACTGTGTTTAAGCAAGCAGTTTTGTTTCTACTTCTTTACAATCAGGATGATTCCATTCCTTCAATGTCCCCCAAATCTTACATGCATTTTCATTTAACGCATCTTTGATCACAGTTCAAAATTTTAATAAACTTTCTAAATAAGTCAGCATGAACTGCAGCAATCAATATGCATCTCTGTGGCAGCAATCTAATTACACCCCAAGGCTCAGTTCTTCGGTTCAGATATTTTTGCCAGAAGAAATCAAAATATTACACTCCTTTTGCAAAGTATCTCTAACCTAACCCTTAACTTCTGCTACTATTATGTCTTTTGTGGTACTCCATTCATCAGTTCATTGCTATAGCACGCTGTAAAGAACTTGCATGTAGTAACCTATTATTTTTTCCTCTGGTTTCAGAGACAAAAGCTGTGAAAATAAGAATTTAACCCATGACCACCAAATCAGTGGGAGTTGCCTGAGACTGAACTGACCTAGAACTTGAGGATTTGGTGTTTCTAGCACAATTGCTGTTGCTCACCACTGAGTTACAGTTATTCCCATGGACCTTTACACATGGATCAGTTCAGGTGAACATCTCTCTCAGTATCTGTGGGTCCCAGGAACTCTCTGTACAATGTCACCACAGGTAAGAGCAACACTATACTACTCTCTAGCTTTGCTTTGTATCAATCAAAGTAGGGCATCATTTAACATAGAAGCTTCTGTGGATCACTTGGTCTTTTTCCAAAATAGAAATCAAATGGCATAAATTAAACAGCATTGTGTGTAAGCTCAAAACAGCTCACAAACACACAGACAAAAATAAATTTACTTTATCATATTACCACAACACATACACTACATTATATAGCTTGTGAGCATTTTTCTATCCCCTAGATTTGTTTTGATCTGAAATTTCTTTCTATTTCAATTACTGTTTGCATCATCTTGTCCCTATATAATATGCTGATAAAACTGATTGTCATTTTTATGAGTAGTAGTTTGGACAAAGTACTTTTTGGGTATCAGAATAAGGAAATTAAATTTATATCTAAAGAGCAGATGCGCATTCTGTGGTTTCACCCTATGACCATGTAACTGAAATTTGTCAACTCAGTTTGACAAAATACACATTTTAGATAATCACTGAGATCTTATTTGTTATTTGCTAACTATAGTTCTTCCCAAGAACTGGAGGTCCACTGGCTTATCCTAACATTTTGGCTGCACTACTTGTCATAAATCACTGTTGCAATAGCATTCTCAAAATTCACGATAAAGAATTAAATTACAGGGGAACCCCCTGTGTTTCATGGGAGAAGTAATTGAACCAGAAAGCTTAAGCATAAAGAATGGGAGGATGAATCATCCATCCCAAATCTGCCATAGTTGCTGCAGTGTTATAAATTGATATAAACTATTATCTAGTTAACCTCTAATGAACTTTCAATTCAGTTTGATCCAGTGAAATACCAATCTGCTTCAATCTCAAGCAAAGTATTCCGTTCTTCTTTCCTCCCAAGATAATACGGAGAAATTAAAATCTGTATAAACATCTATTTTTATGTTTCCATTCATCTTCTTTCCTAGAAGGTCTTGCCTGAAAATTCCTTACCTACTGTAATACACATATCTCACAGGGAATGTGAAGTATGCGAAGGCATACTCCTTGGAGGTACACAGTGGTCATTTAAATTTTCCTTTTCATCTCCTATTTTATATCTGTTCCATGAGTGACAAGACCCACTTACACTCTCATTCCTATTTTTATTTTCTTCCTCAACTGTTCATTATAGATCTCACTTCATCGACTTGAAAGTATTGCTTGCTATGGAAGCCACATCCAGTAGACTGTGTATCTGACAACTGTAATGCTTACCAGCTAGTACTACAAAAATGCAAATTACTTCACCTCTCTACCAGTACAGAATATTTCTCTCTTCTACCTCTCACATGTATATACAACACATGTACAATGCAACAACACAATGCATAGAGAGAGACCTTTCCTCTGTGATGGTATATTTTAAAAATATAGAACGTGATTTTTTAAGAAGCAAAATACCTCAGACAACTCAGCCCTTAGGGTCTAAAATGAAAACACTGTTTGAGAGCATCCATATTTTCTAAAGGGCTGAGTGTTACAGTCTGTGTGTACTCGAAATATCCACTCACATCGAAGGGACTTAAAGTGCAAAATAACGCAGGTCGAGTTTCCAAAACTGAACGGAAATTTCAGAGAAACTGAGCCTCCCTCTAAAGTATTCAATAGTGGTCTATTTTCTTGAAGGCCCACAAAGAGTGATAAAGGCTCCATGCTCTCAGGGATCCCACACCTCCCAGGTTGAATTTCAGCATACTCAACATCCGCCAGCCGAACCCTAAGTGAGGAGAGCACAGCTGCTCAGGAGGCACCTTGCCTTGCCAGTTATCAACCTCTACCACTTTGTCAGCACAGTCTGTATCCAAATTCATCAACAGCCTCAGTTTGATTGATAAAATACAATTTCACCAAATACATATTAGGTACTTTTCTTCCCAGCAAGAATCAAAGGATATTGTGACCATTACTGCATACTTCTTCAGATCAAGTCTTACTTTACTGGAGAAGATTGAGTTTTGCTCTTAACTTCTGGTAAAACCAAGAATAATGTTAAACCTTAAATTATATCAATGTTTGGTGGTTTGTTTTTTTTTTAAATTCATATATAAACTCTTCGCTCTTTAATTCTGCTGCAATTTGCCACAGGACGAGTACACTACCCTAAAGTTGACAACACAACTTTACAACAACACAACACTAAAGTTGACATAACCTTTGCTGCTTTGTTTAAACTACTCCTTCCATCTCAGTACACTGAAATTGGAATATAGCAACACTGTATTTTAGTGAAGTTACCAAAACCTGTTACTGGTCTTTACATTGTATATTCAGTATAAGGTTAATTCGCAAATGGTTTTCTACTTCATTTGAAAGTGAACCATACAAATGAGCAGTTTATGCACAATTAAGTAGTAAATACATTTATAGGTATAATATTATGTAGATAACATTCAGCTTATTCATTATTAGTATTACTATAAAAAGTATTGTCTATAATTTTAGAATCTGCTTTTTGTATTAACTAAATAGAAATGTAAAAGATATCTAAATACTACCAGGAAATTTGTTATGAGGAAGAAAAAGACAAAAAAGAGGAAAAAGGGGGAAAAGGAAAAAGAGAGCGAATGAGGAGACAGGCATATTTGACATATTATAATTTTATGAGTGCCTGTTCTCCAGTTCAAAGTAAAATAAAAAACAGGTAACATAATAAAATCTTTTAGCAGCTCTTATTATTTAATAC